ACACTTGAAGAGTCCAGACACCTCTGCTCCCCGCTCCGCTCTGATGCACTCTGAAGGGCCCAGAGCCCCCAGCCACACCAGGGCTCCCCCAACCTCAACTGACCCTGGCTAGGGCTGCCCTTCTGCTTCTTACCCCATCACTGGCCTCCTGATATTTGGGACCCACAGACCCTATAGAGAGGGCATGTTGGTCATTCCGTGGGATTCTTCCTTGAGCATGGGGGGTCATGAATGAGGAGGGATGCATATCCAAATGTTGCCCACAGGGAATGGTCTGGAGGGGCTCCCTGGTCCTCTGGGGTTCCTGATGTCCTAGGAGGGTCCTCCATCTGCCCCAAGCAGGCCTCTCAACCCGCAGACCCTAACCTGACCCAGAGGCCTGTGGGCACCCAACCCTCTTGTTTCGTGGGCTCCTTGGAAACTCACCCCCTGGCTCCTTTAAGCCAGGCCCCTAGCATATGGAATTGAGCCCATAGGACAGCAGTGAATCCGGCGAATGATTTCTCCTTTTCACCAAGTCTCCTGTATTGATTATTCATCACCCACAACAGATGGGGAGGCCCGAGGGCTTCCACCTTCTCCACCCCTGCCTGGACTCCCCCTCTGCCCTGTCCTCAGTTTCCAGAGCCCTGGTATACTCCTCCTTCATCCTCAGGTTCCCAGTCTGCCCTGTCCTCAGCTTCCGGTAGTCCTGGTACACTGCTCCTTCATCCTCAGTTTCCCAGACCTTGAGTGGGTTGGGTTTTTTAATTTTTTTCTTGCAGCTACAAATTACGAAACCAGGTCATAAAACCACCTTGGGTAAGTAGGTGGGATGGAACCAGTGGCCTCAGAGCTGCTGCTGGGGATCAGGAAGCCCCCAGTCCGTTTCCTTCTCCCTCTCTTCCTGTCTCCCCTCAGCCTCCCTCTCTCCCTCTCTCTTAGGAAAAAATTCCAGCCACCACCTCCCAGCTGGGCTCCCTGAGGAGCCATAGCAGCTCTGGCCCACACTGTGCCCATTTCCCTGACTGGGCCCTCAAGCCTGGGGTCTGTGAGGAGGCTTTAGGCCTAGTGACCTCTCCCTGAGGCTGCCCAGGGGACAGTAGTTGCCTTGGTGACAGCGGGCGGCTGGTGACCATCACTGCCCATTAGTGGACCCACCTGTGGGTCTGGCTGCTTAAAGATGAGGACAGCATAAAAATAAAAGTGAGGACCCTGGCCTGGGGCTCAGGCCGTCACAGGCTGCAGCTCAGCCCCTTGCCCCACAACAGCTTTGGCTTGCATCCTGCTCCAAGAGACTGTCCCTCCAAAGTGGGAGCCCCCCGCAGGGGTTCAGGACAGGGGTGTCCACCCGTGGTCCAGTCACTGCCGCTGCTGCTGAGGGCGTCCTGCATAGGTGCTTCACTGTGGGTGGGCTGTGCTCTGGGGTCCTAAGCAGGGCACTTGTCCAGAACCTCACCTTTTTCTGTGAAGTGGGAGGAGGGATTAATCAAATTGTTTGAGAAAGCCGCACAGAGTGCATGTTCTGCAGCCGCCTTGCTCCCGCCCCGCAGTCCTGTAGATTTCTGGAGGGAAAGGGCTAAGGTCTTTGCCTAAAAGAAGGGCTATGCTCTAGGTGTGCCATGCTGCCAAAGGCCTTTGAGAGCTGCTGGCCTTGCACCAGAGGATAGCTGGGGTTTCATTTTGTCCCCACTATTTTCATGGCTTGGAGTGAAGACACCCATTGCTGTGTCAAGGGGAATCCTGGTGCCCTGGGTGCTGTGTGGCTCCAGTCATGCTCCCCGCTGCGCCTGGCCTGCCTCCTCTGTCCAGCGCTGAGAAGACTAAGCTTCAGGAACTGATTCTAAGGGTGAAGTGTTCGTGTATCTGGTGCTTAGAGGATGCACTAGACTCTGCCCCTCCTGCCTTCTAGTTTCAGCAAGAACTTTGGAGATCAGGCCTGGACCAAGTGTCTGGGAGGAGAGGCAGGTTGGGGAGAAAGGGATGGATTGGAGTGAGTGGGGACCCTCTGGGCAGTGTGGTTGAGCTGGACCATGAGGAGTGAGCCCAGTGGGTGGGGGGTGCCCTCCCCGTCCCCACCTACCACCCCTTCTCCCTCCAGCCCAAGCCACAGGCCAAACCCACAATCTGCCCCCTAGGCCACTTCTTCCCTGCCTCCAGGTTCAAAGGTCACCATCGCTCTGCCAGGGGGACTCTTTCTGCCCCCTCCTCTCCTAAGGCCAACCCAGCCCAGCCCTGCTGTCTGCCTCTCTTCCCCTCTGTGTCCTGTCCTAGTGCTCTTGAAAAGTAATCATAATCATAATAATTAATAACAACAGAGCCCGTAGCAGGCCTGAGGCAGCCCTTAAAGAGGCAGTGCCCCATTTTCTCCCAGCAGAGCTGGCGGTGGGACCCGGCTGGCACTGAGAGGCGGCCTGTGCCTTTGTTCCTATCCCTCCCTTTGCCTTGGATTCCAGAGTGGTGTTGGGGTGAGCATTTTTGCCTGCGTTCTCCATCAGCACTGGGCTTCTTGTGTTTTAATTGAACTGTCTTTTCTTAGCGATAGATGCTTTCACCGCATCCAGCTGCTCGTGTGTATTGGGAAACCTGCCTGTAATACAGCTCGGCTAAATTAAAAGACGCAGCAGCTGGACCGATTAAACAGGGAGGGAGGGATGCAGACGGACAGGCAGGGAGGGGATACTGGTAATAGCACCCCCTCACTGTCTCTGTCTCTCTTTAAATAATGTTTCTGGTAATGCATTTTGGAGAATGTGAAAAAAAAAATAAAAAATAAAGCCGTAGAAATGTTAATGATATCCACAGGACACTCAGCAGGAAATGAGAGTGATCTGGGACTAATAAAAGCCGAAATGTAATTTGTGCAGATATACGAGGCGCAGCCTTCAGAGTGGTCCTGGGTTTGCACATTCTGGGCTCATAAACATGTGCCTGGGGAGGGCAGGGAGTGGGCGCTGTGCCCTCGGCCTGGGCACACGCTTGCCTGGGCTGCCCTGTGGCGGTCTGGCCAGGGCAGGAGCATGAGGCTGCCCACCTGGCAGGGAGCTGCCAGACCAGAACCAAGTGCCGTCCCCAGCTCCTCTGGGTTGGCGCGTCTCGGCAGGAACCTCCTGTAATGTTTTATCTGAGCCACCAGGGTTAGGATTGAAGTGGGTCAGAAGGGCGGGCACACGGCTTGTTAAGGATGCTGCGACAAATCCAGGGAGAGGAGCTGGAGCAGAGGGAAAGCGACTTTGATGAACTGGTGGGCAGGGGCTCTCCTCATGGGAAAGTGGCTGGCCCCACACTAGGCTGGGTCTCCTGCATTCGTGGGCCAGGGCAAGCTGACTCCAGAGAGCAGTGGTACCAGGACTGGGCCGACGGGCTTCTGGGGGCCATCTGGCTGCCCTGGGCTTGCCCTGCTCTCAGGCAGATGAAGGCCCTCTGTCCCCTTCCCTGCATCCGTCCGCAGACACTGAATGAGGAAGGCACTTTGGTGGGGTGTGGGCCAAGGAAGAAAGGTGAATGAAGGAGCCCCTCCCGTTCTCCCCCACTCCCCACCTTTCTGCCTCTTCCCTGTTTCCCCCCACCTGACTCTGTGTGCCCCTCTTCCCCTCTCTTTGTCCCTTCCTGACCCCTTCAACAACCTGGAATCTTTGTAGCCTGAGGCAAGCCACCCCTTCCTTTTGGAGCATTTGGGAACCAGCACTGGAAAGTCCCCTATCCCCTTCTGGGCCACACAGGCCGAGCTGAGCCCGTTCTTCCTGCCTCCAGGCCAGCGGGCCAGCGTGGTTCTGGGTAAATCCCAAACCCTCTGGGACTCGGCCAATGGCCAGCCCCTCCATGTACTTCCTCCAAAACCTGGGCATTCCTCTTTCTTCCATCCCTCTTTGAGGGGTCTTGTGGGGTGGCCCGGCCAGCAAGTCAGCTGGGAGAGCCTTTACCCTGGATGCCGGGCCGGCAGATGCTCTGCTCTGAGAGGCTCCCACCCCGGGTCCTTCCCTGACCCAGGATTCTGCTCTGTGGGCAGGGGCAGGTTAGACCCCCGCCTGAGCCCCAGCCCCTCAAATCATAACCACACGGGCTCTTGGGCGTTGCCTGCCCCAGCCCCCACCTGCAGAGGTGGGGAGGGGCTGGCCAGGAGGGACAGGGCTGCGTCGCCCCATGCGGGTGGGGCTGGGCTGTGCCCTTCCGTGGCCGTGGCCATGGACTGCATCTCTAGCCCCATTAGTATGCACTCCCTCACTCTGGGCCACGTAATCTGTTTATGCACCTATGATATCAAAAACAGGAGGCAGGTGCTGCCGTCTTGCGTTCCTGGGAGTCAGAGGAGGGGACGTTTTATGTCTACAGTGGCTTGGCAGCCCCTAATCGACGTCTGCTAGAAGGAACAGACAGATTCCAGATGGCGTGGCAGTGATAGAGGAGGTGTGTGTGTGTGCATGCGTGTGCGTGTGTGTGTGAGCATACATATGCCTGTGTGCACGCGTGTGTGTGTGCTCAAGCGGCCTCCCTGGGACAGGAGCAGACCCTCCTCAGTGCCCAGCATGGCTGGGTCATGCTTGAACACGGCCACGAAGGGACTAGATTACAGGATCCAGCAGGCCCCAGGGGATGAGGGAGCGGGAATTGCTCTGCTAAATGCTTTTGAGCTGTCAGGAAGGGCTGGGAGTGGTGGGTGGGGGACAGTGGGGAGGAGCTGGTGGTGGAGGTGCGGGTAGCTCCCCAGTGACCTGGCGCTGGGCAGCCGGTTTTGCCTCCCGTGTCGGTGGCTGTCCTTGGCAAGGCTCAGCTGCAGGCAATGTGGGAGCAGGAATTACAGAGCACACCTCCCTGACACAGAAGTTGTCAATATGTGCACAGCTGGTAGGGAGGCTCAGGCGAAGGGGGGAATATTAAGAGCTGCGTGGGGGAGCAGGCAGGGTGGGGAGGTGGGTGGGAGGGTGCTTTCTGAGGCAAAAGGAAGTGGCCCATCTGAATCGCTCATCCTCTGCCTCCTCCCTGCCCGTCCTCCCTCCCTCCCTCCCTTTTTCTTTTCACAGATAACCAGCCCGAGTCATGCAGTCTTTTCGAGAAAGGTGTGGTTTCCATGGCAAACAACAGAACTACCAGCAGACCTCGCAGGAAACATCACGCCTGGAGAATTACAGGCAGCCGAGTCAGGCCGGGCTAAGCTGCGACCGGCAGCGGCTGCTCGCCAAGGAATATTATAACCCGCAGCCTTACCCGAGCTATGAGGGTGGCGCTGGCACGCCCTCTGGCACAGCGGCCGCAGTGGCCGCCGACAAGTACCACCGAGGCAGCAAGGCCCTGCCCACGCAGCAGGCCCTGCAGGGGAGGCCGGCTTTTCCTGGCTATGGCGTCCAGGACAGCAGCCCCTACCCGGGCCGCTATGCTGGTGAGGAGAGCCTGCAGGCTTGGGGTGCCCCACAGCCACCACCCCCACAGCCGCAGCCCCTATCAGCGGGGGTGACCAAGTATGATGAGAACTTGATGAAAAAGACAGCAGTGCCCTCCAGCAGGCAGTATGCAGAGCAGGGCGCCCAGGTGCCCTTTCGGACTCACTCCCTGCACGTCCAGCAGCCACCGCCGCCCCAGCAGCCCCTGGCATACCCCAAGCTCCAAAGGCAGAAGCTGCAGAACGACATTGCCTCCCCTCTGCCCTTCCCCCAGAGTACCCACTTTCCTCAGCATTCCCAGTCCTTCCCTACCTCCTCCACCTACTCCTCCTCTGTCCAGGGCGGTGGGCAGGGTGCCCACTCCTATAAGAGTTGCACAGCGCCGACTGCCCAGCCCCATGACAGGTCACTGACCGCCAGCTCCAGCCTGGCCCCGGGGCAGCGGGTGCAGAATCTTCACGCCTATCAGTCGAGCCGCCTCAGCTATGACCACCAGCAGCAGCAGCAGCAGCAACAGCAGCAGCAGCAAGCCCTTCAGAGCCGGCACCATGCCCAGGAAACCCTCCATTACCAAAACCTTGCCAAGTATCAGCACTACGGGCAGCAAGGCCAGGGCTACTGCCAGCCGGACGCAGCTGTCCGGACCCCGGAGCAGTACTACCAGACCTTCAGCCCCAGCTCCAGCCACTCACCCGCCCGCTCCGTGGGCCGCTCGCCTTCCTACAGCTCCACGCCGTCGCCACTGATGCCAAACCTGGAGAACTTTCCCTACAGCCAGCAGCCGCTCAGCACCGGGGCCTTCCCTGCGGGGATCACTGACCACAGCCACTTCATGCCCCTGCTCAATCCCTCCCCAACGGATGCCACCAGCTCCGCAGACACCCAGGCTGGCAACTGCAAGCCCCTTCAGAAGGACAAACTCCCCGAGAACCTGCTGTCGGATCTCAGCCTGCAGAGCCTCACGGCGCTGACCTCGCAGGTGGAGAACATCTCCAACACCGTCCAGCAGCTGCTACTCTCCAAGGCTGCCGTGCCGCAAAAGAAAGGTGTCAAGAATCTCGTGTCCAGGACCCCGGAGCAGCACAAAAGCCAGCACTGCAGCCCCGAAGGCAGTGGCTACTCGGCCGAGCCCGCAGGCACACCGCTGTCAGAACCGCTGAGCAGCACGCCACAGTCCACGCATGCAGAGCCACAGGAGGCCGACTACCTGAGCGGCTCTGAGGACCCACTGGAGCGCAGCTTTCTCTACTGCAACCAGGCCCGTGGCAGCCCTGCCAGGGTCAACAGCAACTCGAAGGCCAAGCCCGAATCTGTGTCCACCTGTTCCGTGACCTCTCCTGATGACATGTCCACCAAATCTGACGACTCCTTCCAGAGCCTGCACAGCAGTCTCCCACTCGACAGCTTCTCGAAGTTCGTGGCGGGTGAGCGGGACTGTCCGCGGTTGCTGCTCAGCGCCCTGGCACAGGAGGACCTGGCCTCCGAGATCCTGGGGCTGCAGGAAGCCATCGGTGAGAAGGCCGACAAAGCTTGGGCTGAAGCACCCAGCCTGGCCAAGGACAGCAGCAAGCCACCCTTCTCCCTGGAGAACCACAGCGCCTGCCTGGACTCTGTGGCCAAGGGTGCGTGGCCCCGGCCTGGGGAGCCAGAAGCCCTGCCTGACTCCTTGCAGCTGGACAAGGGCGGCAATGCCAAGGACTTCAGCCCAGGGCTGTTTGAAGACCCTTCTGTGGCCTTCGCTACCCCTGACCCCAAAAAGACAACTGGTCCTCTCTCCTTTGGCACCAAGCCCACCCTTGGGGCTCCTGCTCCAGACCCTACCACAGCAGCTTTTGACTGTTTCCCGGACACGACCGCTGCCAGCTCAGCGGACAGTGCCAACCCCTTTGCCTGGCCAGAGGAAAACCTGGGGGATGCTTGTCCCAGGTGGGGATTGCACCCTGGCGAGCTCACCAAGGGCCTGGAGCAAGGTGGGAAGGCCTCAGATGGCGTCAGCAAAGGGGAGACCCACGAGGCTTCGGCCTGCCTGGGCTTCCAGGAGGAGGACCCCCCTGGGGAGAAGGTGGCCTCGTTGCCTGGGGACTTCAAGCAGGAGGAGGCGGGTGGGGTGAAGGAGGAGGCAGGTGGGCTGCTGCAGTGCCCCGAGGTGGCCAAGGCTGACCGGTGGCTGGAGGACAGCCGGCACTGCTGTTCCACCGCCGACTTCGGGGACCTCCCACTGCTGCCGCCCACCGGCAGGAAGGAGGACCTGGAAGCTGAGGAGGAGTACTCCTCCCTGTGTGAGCTCCTGGGCAGCCCTGAGCAGAGGCCCGGCATGCAGGACCCGCTGTCACCCAAGGCCCCACTCATCTGCACCAAGGAGGAGGTGGAGGAGGTGCTGGACTCCAAGGCCGGCTGGGGCTCTCCGTGCCATCTCTCAGGGGAGTCCGTCATCCTGCTGGGCCCCACCGTGGGCACTGAGTCAAAGGTCCAGAGCTGGTTTGAGTCCTCTCTGTCCCACATGAAGCCAGGTGAAGAGGGGCCTGACGGGGAGCGAGCTCCAGGGGATTCCACCACCTCGGACGCCTCTCTGGTCCAGAAGCCCAACAAGCCTGCTGTGCCCGAGGCACCCATTGCAAAGAAAGAGCCTGTGCCACGGGGCAAAAGCTTACGGAGCCGTCGGGTGCACCGGGGGCTCCCCGAGGCCGAGGACTCCCCATGCAGGGCACCAGCGCTGCCCAAAGACCTCTTGCTCCCTGAATCCTGCACAGGGCCCCCACAGGGACAGATGGAAGGGGCCGGAGCCCCAGGCCGGGGGGCCTCAGAAGGGCTCCCCAGGATGTGTACCCGTTCTCTCACGGCCCTGAGTGAGCCCCGCACACCCGGGCCTCCAGGCCTGACCACCACCCCTGCACCCCCAGACAAACTGGGGGGCAAGCAGCGAGCCGCCTTTAAGTCGGGCAAGCGGGTGGGGAAGCCCTCACCCAAGGCTGCCTCCAGTCCCAGCAACCCGGCCGCCCTGCCTGTGGCCTCCGACAGCAGCCCAATGGGCTCCAAGACCAAGGAGACGGACTCGCCCAGCACGCCTGGCAAGGACCAGCGCTCCATGATCCTTCGGTCGCGCACCAAAACCCAGGAGATCTTCCACTCCAAGCGGCGGAGGCCCTCTGAGGGCCGGCTCCCCAACTGCCGTGCCACCAAGAAGCTCCTTGACAACAGCCACTTGCCCACCACATTCAAGGTCTCCGGCAGCCCCCAGAAGGAGGGCCGGGTGAGCCAGCGGGCAAGGGTCCCCAAACCTGGTGCAGGCAGCAAGCTCTCTGACCGGCCCCTCCATGCACTCAAAAGGAAGTCAGCCTTCATGGCGCCGGTCCCCACCAAGAAGCGGAACCTGGTCTTGCGGAGCCGCAGCAGCAGCAGCAGCAATGCCAGTGGCAATGGGGGAGATGGGAAGGAGGAGAGGCCTGAGGGTTCCCCCACCCTCTTCAAGAGGATGTCTTCTCCCAAGAAAGCCAAGCCCACCAAGGGCAATGGTGAGCCCGCCACAAAGCCCCCACCCCCGGAGAGCCCCGACGCCTGCCTCAAGCTCGCCTCTCGGGCGGCCTTCCAGGGGGCCATGAAGACCAAGGTGCTGCCACCCCGGAAGGGCCGGGGCCTGAAGCTGGAAGCCATTGTGCAGAAGATCACCTCGCCCAGCCTCAAGAAGTTCGTATGTAAAGCGCCAGGGGCCTCTCCTGGTAATCCTCTGAGCCCATCCCTTCCCGAGAAAGACCGTGGGCTCAAGGGTGCTGGGGGCAGCCCAGTGGGGGTGGAAGAAGGCCTGGTAAATGTGGGCACCGGGCAGAAGCTCCCAGCTGCTTCTGGGGCCGATCTGTTATGCAGAAATCCAACCAACAGATCCTTAAAAGGCAAACTCATGAACAGTAAGAAACTGTCTTCGACTGACTGTTTCAAAACTGAGGCCTTCACATCCCCAGAGGCCCTGCAGCCCGGGGGCACTGCCCTGGCACCTAAGAAGAGGAGCCGAAAAGGCCGGGCAGGGGCCCTTGGACTCTCCAAAGGCCCACTGGAGAAGCGGCCCTATCTTGGCCCAACTCTGCTCCTGACTCCCCGAGACAGGGCCAGTGGCACACAAGGGGCCAGCGAGGACAACTCTGGTGGAGGAGGCAAGAAGCCAAAGATGGAGGAGCTGGGCCTGGCCTCCCAGCCCCCTGAGGGCCGGCCCTGCCAGCCCCAGACAAGGGCACAGAAACAGCCAGGCCACACCAACTACAGCAGCTATTCCAAGCGGAAGCGCCTCACTCGGGGCCGGGCCAAGAACACCACGTCTTCACCCTGTAAGGGGCGTGCCAAGCGACGACGGCAGCAGCAGGTGCTGCCCCTGGATCCCGCAGAGCCTGAAATCCGCCTCAAGTACATTTCCTCTTGCAAGCGGCTGAGGTCAGACAGCCGGACCCCCGCCTTCTCACCCTTCGTGCGGGTGGAGAAGCGAGACGCCTTCACCACCATATGCACTGTTGTCAACTCCCCTGGAGATGCGCCCAAGCCCCACAGGAAGCCTTCCTCTTCTGCCTCCTCTTCCTCATCCTCATCCTCCTTCTCCTTGGATGCAGCCGGGGCCTCCCTGGCCACGCTCCCTGGAGGCTCCATCCTGCAGCCACGGCCCTCCCTGCCCCTCTCCTCCACGATGCACTTGGGGCCTGTGGTTTCCAAGGCCCTGAGTACCTCTTGCCTTGTTTGCTGCCTCTGCCAAAACCCGGCCAATTTCAAGGACCTTGGGGACCTCTGTGGGCCCTACTACCCTGAACACTGCCTCCCCAAAAAGAAGCCAAAACTCAAGGAGAAGGTGCGGCCAGAAGGCACCTGTGAGGAGGCCTCGCTGCCACTTGAGAGAACACTCAAAGGTCCCGAGTGCGCAGCTACCACCGCTGCCGGGAAGCCCCCCAGGCCTGACGGCCCAGCCGACCCGGCCAAGCAGGGCCCACTGCGCACCAGTGCCCGGGGCCTGTCCCGGAGGCTGCAGAGCTGCTACTGCTGTGATGGCCGGGAGGATGGGGGTGAGGAGGCAGCCCCAGCCGACAAGGGCCGCAAACACGAGTGCAGCAAGGAGGCCCCGGCAGAGCCCGGCGGGGAGGCGCAGGAGCACTGGGTGCACGAGGCCTGTGCCGTGTGGACCGGCGGCGTCTACCTGGTGGCTGGGAAGCTCTTTGGGCTGCAGGAGGCCATGAAGGTGGCCGTGGACATGGTAAGAGGCCAGCCCAGCCAGGGTGGGGAGTGTGGGGTTCCAAAGGACAGGCAGGCAGTCGGGGGAGCCCCTTGTCTCTCTAGTACTACAGTGTGGGCCAAATGTGTCTGCAGTCTTGGGATGATCTGCAGAGTCCTCAGCCTCTCCGGGGTGTGTGGGGGAAGTGGAGGCACCTGTCTGGCTAAGGCAGGTCACACTCGCCTACCCTGTCCCAAGAGACTTCCCCCTGTGGCCCCTATGCCCAACCACCGCCACTCTCCCACTCACCTGGCATCTTCAGGCTCCAGCCCCACCCAGAGTCCACTGGGCCCCTCCCCATGCTGTCACCGGAGATGCCAAGGCCCAGAGAACAGGAGGACTCCCAAGATTGAACGTCAGGACAGCTCTGGGCGGTGCAAGAGCAAGTTGCCCACCCTCTGTTCCTGTCTCCGTTGCCTCTGGGATGGAGCTAGGGGCTCAGGGGAAGACCCTCCCCGGCGACACAGGCTTGGTGCATGGACCCAGTCACAGGGTTCCTCCCTCTGCAGGACAGTCCACGGGGTCACACAGTCACAACAGGCAGGGCGGGGCAGACCCGGACCCTCTTGCCACTGGCTCTGAGACCAGCTTTGGAAGCCATAGTCACTGAGCGCCAACGTGAGAGAGGGAACTCTGGGGCCGCGCAGCCATGCACCTTTGGGGCTGTGACCTGCCCTCTCTGTGCCTCCGTCCCCCTCGCCCCTAACGTGGGTGTGAGGGTACCCATGGAGGAGGGTCGGGAGGGTTAAAGGAGGGCACCTCCGAGCCCACCGAGCGCAGCAGCCCTGTGACAGTAGGTGCAGAGGGGCCTGGTGGCTCTGGTGACAGCGGGCTGACGTTCTTAGTGGTGTCCCCACTTCCCCAGCACCATACGGTACCTCTGTGCCCTTCTGAGGGAGGGGCCAGTGGGGGCGGTGGGATCCACCTCTCCCCCGGGGCCACGCCCTGCCCCACATTCAGCCCCGACTCCACTGCCTCATCCAGACTTCCATGGAGTGGCGCTCCCGGCTCCCGGCGCTGTGTGGTGGCTCTCAGTGGGGACGCCTGCAGCCTTCTCTGAGTGGCCCTTGCCCTGAGTCCCGTCTCCTCTACTCCTTCCTTCAGCCAGCTATGTGCAGCTGAGGTCACAGGGGAGCCAGAGGCTCGGGACAAACACTGCCTGCATCTGAGTGATTCAGTGACCTGGCAGAGTGGCCCCAGCGGGTGGCTTCACCCCTCCCCTGCCCAGCCTCCTCCCCCATTGCGGTGCTGCCCAGCTGCTCCTCGCAGTACACCCCTGCAGCCCCTCTGAGCAACCCCTGCTCCTAACAGTTGCCGTAACGTTGCCTGGCCAAACCAAGGTCCCGGTGGGGGACCACTGTGTTAGCCGCCCACGCCTCCTAGTGTGTCTTGAGCACCTGCTTCCCACTGCCCATGGGGATGGCTAGAGACCTTCTCCACACCCAGACGCCCTGCCCACCTCACTCCACCCTCCGCCTCAGAGGAAGGCTCGCCCCGACAGGACACCTGCAGCTTCCTGGTGACACGGGCCTTGCTTGTCCAGCAGATGGTGGCCTTGGGCCTCTTCCCTCTCCCCTTCCCAGTTACAGTGATGTTTTGCCTCTCTCTCTGTCTCTCTCTCTCTCTGTCTCTGTCTCTGTCTCTCTCTCTCTCTCTCTCTCTCTCTCTCATATTACTGGCTCCTTCCCAGCGCCTTGAAACAGGTTCAAGTCTCTCCCATCGTCAAAAAATGACCCTCAGATCACCAGCCCCAGCTGGCTGCCACCTTCCCTCGTTCACAGCCCCATTCCTGAAACCCTTGTCCCCACGGCGTCCTCGGTCAAGCATCCTCACCACGAGCTGCCTCCATGCTCCCTAACACTCACGTCCCACCAGGCTGGGATCAGGTCGTCTCCATGTTCCCTGCAGGCAGCACTGGCCGGCCGAAGGGAGGAGGGGTCAGCCCTGAGCACCGACCGCCCCATCCTGTCCCCGGCCCGTGGGTGTCTTACCACCCATGCACACACAAGGTCCTGCTGGACTGAGGAGACAGTGTGTGTTGGAGAGGCGCTAGCTTCCCTGTGCCACACGGGGGCTGGAACTCGCCAGCCCAGCCCATGCCTGTCCATTGCGCCATGCTCCAAAAATGGCCTGACAGCCTGCATGATTGGGGCCGCCCCGGGAAGGTCGGAACCAGGAACACCCTGCCAGAGAGATGGGACATCCTGGAAGAATGGGCAGGGTCGGGGGCTTCCCAGGGTCACTTTTGGCTCACCACCCCTTCCTGCCTCAGTGGCTTGGGGGCACCACGCTCCTTGGACCCCGATTCAAATCTCAGCTCTGCTGAGGGCTAGTTCCATAGCTCCAGGCGAGTCACGCATCCTCTTGAGAACCTCACAATGTCAAACCCTGTTAGCAGGATTGTGGGGTTCTGTGGATCACGTGGGACCTGTCTGGCATGTGGAAGGCGTTTGGGGTGCAGCTGCGTCCCCGGCCCCAGCACTGCCACACCCCTTGGTCCCTTGACCTCACTTCTGTGCTCTGGAGGGCAGAACCTCTGAGCCAGCCCTCGTGGAGGGCTCCATAGCCTTCTCCCTCGACGGCCGTTTCTGGTAGCTGCCCCCACCTGCTGTCTCTGAGCCCTGCCTGCCCCTCCCCCCAAAACCATCGTAGACCCCTACCTCCTATCCAGATGGGGCCTGGCCATGGAATGCTTGGGGTGAGAGGAACCCATAGCAGGCTCCAGACATCGTTCGGGGGCTGGACGGTGTCTGCAGAGGCCCCACCTGTGGCAGGGTTTACATGCTGCAGCCCCTGCCCTCCTCTTGGGTAGCTGGGGTCAGAAGGGCCTGAGGCCTCACTCTCTCTGCATCTCAGTTTCTTCACATCTAAAATGCCATTCAAATGCCTGCCTGAGGGTGGTTGGGGCCTCCATGCAGTAAGTGGAGAGAAGCCTTCAGCCAGAGGACCCCCATAAACCTTAAACATCCAGACACTGAGGGCCACTCACGGACAGCGGCCGGCTTGTGTGTCATCATCCCTTTTGGGTTAGCAATTGGGGACGCTGGACCCCAGGTCCCCAGGAGGCCATCCCAGACCAGGCAGGAAGAAGGCCTCAACCCTGAACTGAAAACCTGAAATTCTAGAACAAACCCCAGAGCCCACTCCCAGTGTGGGCAGCGGGGAGGGGAGCGTTCTGACATTTCTCAGCTGCTGTGGGTGGGATGGAGCGCCCACCCTGAGCATGTGGGGTCCTGTGGGCCCCTGCTCCAGCCTGGAGCCAGCTGTGGGGGTCAGAGACCAGCCTGGAGCCCTCCAGCAGGTTACTCAGCCTCTGCTGTCATTGGTAACCTGGGTAAAAGAACAGTAATCCCATCACAAGGTTGCTGTGGGCATGAGACTTCCAGCCATGCCTGGCACATAGGAAGCTATTGTCATTTGTTTCACTGGCTTTGCACCTGGGCACAGGCCGCCGCCCTTCTGCTGCCTTCGCTACCTCACTCCCTGCCCCCAGCACGGTGGCACTGTGCCTCTGGCACCTGGTGACTTCTCCCTCCCCAGCCTCAGGTTTGCTTCACTCTTCCAAGGGCCTTTTTGGCGTGACTGTCCTGTCCCGGCCATGTCCACTCCAAGCAGCTGGTCCAGGTGTGGGGCAGGCCCCAAGCTCAGCAGAGGACAGTTTTGAGACTTAGAGGAGGACGGCATCAGATTTACATGAAGTCAGCATCTCAAGGGATTAGCACGTCACCGCCTCCTCTCACAGGTCTGAGAGCCGGTCCCCTGGAGGGTGCAGGTCTCATCCTAGGTAAAACAGTCCCAGCCTAGCTTCAGTGCTCCTGCTGCCAGAAAGGGTAGAAAACCATGCTGATGCCTTCACTGTTGCCTGGAATGGGAAGCCTCAGTTTCACCATCATCTGTAAAGTGAGATTAATGAAAGGGGCCCACAGAGGGCCGTTAGAGCCAGTAGGCCGGGCGCGGTGGCCACACCTGTAATCCCAGCACTTTGGGAGGCCTAGGCAGGCAGATCACCTGAGGTCGGGAGTTTGAGACCAGCCTGGCCAACACGGTGAAACCCCGTCTTTACTAAAAATACAAAAATTAGCTGGGTGTGGTGGCATGTGCCTGTAATCCCAGCTACTCGGGAGGCTGAGGCAGGAGAATCACTGAAACACAGGAGGCGGAGGTCGCAGTGAGCCGAGACCATGCTCTTGCACTCCAGCCTGGGCGACAGAGCAAAACTGTCTCAAAAAAAAAAAAAAAGAGCCAGCGGACAAGGACACACACCACACCCAGCACGCAGAAAGCATGCAGCAGATGCTGACTGGTAGCCACAGCCATGGTGGTAACTGGCATCACTGGCCCAAGGGGGTCTCCCTACCCAATGTACCAGTCCAGGTGGTGCTAAATGACCCATGCTTGTGGGCATGTGCACCCCAGTGCTGAACCTCCTTCTGGGAGATTTTCAGGCACCATTTTGGAGAAGGGAGGCGGGGACCACAGCTGGCCGGCTAGCCTGTAAGGCTTTTTTTTTTTTTTTTTTGAGGCAGGGTCTCACTCTGGTGCCCAGACTGGAGTACAGGCAGTGGTGTAATCTCAGCTCACTGCAGCCTCGACCTCCCAGGCTCCAGCAATCCTCCCACCTAATCCTCCTGAGTAGCTGGGACTACAGGCGCACACCACCACCCCTCACTATTTTTTGCAGAGACAGAGTTTCACCATGTTGCCCAGGCTGGTCTCAAACTCCTAGACTCAGACGATCCTCCCACCTTGGCCTCCCAGAGTGCTGGGATTACAGGCATGAGCCACTGCACTCAGCCTAGCAGCATGTAAAGCTTGAGGGCTGGGCTCCAACTGGAGACTCACCTGCCTTTCCTTTCTCTTCATCAGACGTGTTCCAGCTGCCAAGAAGCCGGGGCCACCATTGGGTGCTGCCACAAAGGATGCATCCACACCTACCACTACCCGTGTGCCAGCGATGCAGGTACGAGCCCGCCCGGGAACAGGAGGGCATTGGAGCCCATCCAAACCGTCCAGGGGGACCCTGGGCACAGCTCCCCAAACCCAGGCCCCATCTCACTCTTCAGTTTCCCTCCTCTCTTGCCCCAGCAATTCTTTATCTTTCTGTCCGCATAGACCTCTCTGCTGGGCAATGCCAGGGACATGGAAATGAGGCATTCCCCAGTCACCTGCTTGAGGGGTGCCCAGAGCAGTGAGCGAAGATAGAGGCGTAAATTACAATGTGGAATGCTGTCTGTGGAGCCGTCATTGCCAAGGGGCGGGGAGGATCTCAGGCCTCAGAGAGAAAGGGGCATTGGGGGTTGGGCCTTTGAAGGATGAGTAGGAGTTCACTGAGCAGACACAAGGGGAAAGGCACTACCATGACAGCAAAAACCAAATGAGTTGGAGGTGATGAGATTCAAAACAGAGACTGAGACCCATGATCTCCTGTTGGCCACAAGGAGCAATTGTGGAAGCTCTGAAGCAGGGTAACGGGGTCTGGAGGTAGGCCCAGGCTCCCCTCATCCTCCCCCCAAGTCCCTCCTCTCACTCATGCATTCATTTGTTCCACAAGCATTTATTAAGCCCCTACTATCACTGGGCACACAGAGTGACACTGCATAGACTGGAGCTACCCAAGAGCCCTTACCTTTATCGACCAGGTGGGGAAACTGAGGCTCAGAGACATTCCTTATTTCATCCAAAGAAAGCAGTTGCTTATGGTACAATATTCGTCATTGGTGACAACAATGTTTTGGGAGATTTGGGGCCAACTTTGGCCTGGATTCAAACCCTAGTGATAGTGGGGGTTTTCGTTTTTGTTTGAGACAGGGTCTTCCTCTGTCACCCAAGCTAGAGTGCAGGGGTGCAATCATGGCTCACTGCAGCCTTAACCCCCTGGGCTCAATCATCCTCCCACCTCAGCCTCCCGAGCAGCTGAGACCACAGATGTGCCCAGCCATGCTGGCTCCTAGTAGTGTGTTTATTTTTATTTATTTATTTATTTATTTTTGAGACGGAGTCTCACTCTGTCTCCAGGCTGGAGTGCAGTGGTGCGGTCTTGGCTCACTGCAACCTCTGTCTCCTGGGTTCAAGCGATTCTCCTGGCTCAGCCTCCCAAGTAGCTGGGAGTACAGGCGTGCGCCACCACGCTCAGCTAATTTTTGTATTTTTAGTAGAGACGGGGTTTCACCGTGTTGGACAGGATGGTCTCGATCTCTTGACCTCATGATCTGCCTGCCTTATCCTCTGAAAGTGCTGGGATTACAGGCGTGAACCACTGCGCCCAGACCCTAGCAGTGTTTTTAATGTGTGGTCTTGAGCAAGTTGGTCAGTATCTCTGCACGCAGTTTCCCCACCTGTATGATGGAGATGATAATAGCCTCTTCTCTGCAGAGCTGCTGGGAGGAGAGTGAAATAATGAACACTACCCACACAGTGCTGCCTCAGTCCTGTTTTGGGTCCAGCCTCTGTGACCTCTCCCCTGTACCCTCAATCCCTCCCAACTCGGGCCTGGAAAGAGGTGAAGTCATAACCCACCTCCCAGCAGACAGAGCCCAGCTCCCCCAGACTCCCATCACTCTCCCAGCAGCCCCAACTACTGCCTCCCCTCCTCACCTGATGCCCTGCTGGCTTTGCCTGGACAGAGGGGACCACAGCCTGTACCCCACCTGCCTGCTGGGTCCCCAGCCAGTGTCAGTCCAGTGGAGCTGCCCCAGGGAGGACACAGAGGACTTCGAGTGCTGACAGTTCCTTGGCAGGGGCTGAGCTGCCCACACCCAATGGGGAGGGGGCTTGCTGGAGCTGGGTCGGGGAGGATTCTCACTGGCTCCACCCTCCCACTCTGAGCAGTGTGAGCCAGAGTTTAACATGGACCCTGCCACTTGCCCAGGCATGTGGCCGCACTCCTCTTAATAGCTGCCATGTGTCGCATTCCTCCTTCCACAGTGATTAACTTAGCGCCAGCTCCACTCCCAGCCCTGCGACAGGCCCATGTTGTTTCCAGCCATCTTCACGGATTGGCTGCCTCACCCACAGCACACAGCATGGCGTGGACAGTCCCAGGACTTAATGCCCTGGCTTTCTTGTTCCGTGTCTATGTTCTTTCTCCTACCCCAGTGCTGCCCAGTCCCCCAAGGGGCTTACCCTTGAGTGGGACAGACAGCAAAACCGTGGTTCTTGGCCACAGTTAGGGAGACCAGACAGGAAGTAGAGTATGCACTGTGGGAGAGGTTCATCCTGTCTGAACCAGGAAGAAATCTAGGAAGACTTCCAGGAGGAGGTGACATTTAAGCCAGGCCTGAAAAAATCGGGGGAGCTGGGCAGAAACTATTTAGTGGTGGGACTTGTATACTAGGCTTTGAGCAAGAGAACTTTTGTTTCAGGTAAAATCCTAGAAGGATTCCTCATATAACAGGGATCCCTGTAGCGCCATGAAGATTGAGGCAGGAAAGGGACTGGGAATGCTGTAAATGGAGACATACACCTCAGACACTGCGTTGGCACAGAATCCACGGGACTTGATGATGAGGGAGAGGGAGGTGGCAAGCCTGATGCCCAGCTTCCCCGTGAAGGGGAGAAGTAGGGTATGGACGTGCAAATGGAGTTATTAGCTGCTGCTGCAGAGCTACTGGCCCTTCCAGGCCCAGCTTCATTTCTCCAGCGCCAGCCCTTCATTATTCCTCAAAAGGGCATGAGTTGGCTACAGACTCTGCTGGGAGCAGGATGATCTAGGGTGGCCCCAGCTGGACCAGCTTGCCTTTGCTCCATGCGGTCTCATCCTCCAGCAGGCTGGCCTGGGTGCGTCCTCATGGCGGCAGCAGGGCTCTGAGAGAGTGGAGGTCACAGGGCCTCTCACAGCCTAGGTCCTGGACTTCACCACGTTCTGTTAGCCACAGCAGATCCCAAGTCCAGCACAGAGACGTGCAGGCCACCTCTCCATGGCGTGAGCTGCAGAGCCACACCACAAAAGACCCGGGTGCGAGGAGGGGACGGGGCTGCTCTGCCAGGCCATCTACACACACGGCAGTTCCCTTTGGCCACACTGCAGCAGAGGCCGCTGTGGACATACAAAGTGTGCGCATCTGGGCTCAGGACCGAGTGTCGCCCATCATCAGCAGGCGGGGGCTCATCAGAGCTCTGGAAGGGACAAGATAGCGGGGTTGTGTTCACCATGGAACAGCTGGCTGAGGAGGAGGGTGGACCCCTGGGAAACTGAGGAACAGCTGCCAGAGAAGGCGAGGGGGAACAAGTAAGCTCGAGAGTGAAGGTGGGGAGGACGGGCGCTTGGGGTACAGGGAGGGCCCCCAGGGCGACTCTCTCTGCCAGCCAGGCGGCGGGGGGTGGGGTGGGAGTGAGAGGGCACTGAGGGAGCGGGCTGGTCAGGCTGATCCGATGTCTGGCCAGGGAGGAGCCCCAGGCCTCTGCATCAGGCACTGGGACTGCAGGGCACCAGGGCTGCCCATTGGCTGCCAGCCTCTGCCCTGCACCGCGCTGCCCTGGCCTACTCATCTTGCCACTTTCCAATCCTTGTTAAGGAACCCACTTTGGAGACAAGCAGTGACTCTGAAGAGCAGGCAGAGGCTGCTACACCCCAGTGTCCTGTCTGAACCTTTCCCCACTCAGGCCCTGGGGCCAACCTGTCAGTGAGCACCCAGGTTCCCCAGGTGCAGACACCAGGTCAGGAGCCAGATCATTGAGGATTGGCCTTGCCCAGTCACTCCCGCTCCGTGCCCCATGTGGGGTGGTGCTGGGGCAGTGCTGAGGGAGCCAGTTTGGAAGTGGCAACCTCCTACCCTCAAATTCCCTTGGTGGGAGCGCCTGCAGTACCCAGGCGTGCGGGGGCAGGCCTGGGGTTTTAGCCCAGTGTCTTTGGAAAATCTGGTCCAGCCCCAGAACCGCACTGGCTTGCCTGAGCCAAGGGAAGGGGAACAGCCGTGGCACATCTGCAGCTGCTGGCCCTGAATGGCAGTTTCCAGGTCCAAGGCACTCCCAGCTTCTGGAGACAAGGGGAGACCGCCTAAGAGAGGCCTGCTACCGCCCAGCCCTGCCCTCAGGGCTGCAGAGCTGTCCCCGCCCTGCCTTCTGGCCACCACCCTGTCACGATGCCATTGCACAGAGCCAGCTCCAGTGTGAAAGGAAGATTGTGTTGAAGACAGCACCAGCCTTCAGCTACTTTTGGGTCTGGGGTTCAGAACAGTGGCTGGTGAGGCTTGCGGGGAGGGGAGCCCAGAAGGGGACTAGGGGCTGGGGGGTCCCTGGGGGAAAAGCCAGCTTCTCCCTAGGTGGCAGCAGGCAGGGGAGTGGGGACTCGCTGAGATAGCAGCACATCCCGGGCCTAGGTGGGCATAAGCACTGGCCGTGCTCGGTTGTCTTCTCTGCCCCGCCTCCTGCACCCACTGCATGCCACACATGTGCAGGGTGGTTTATTTTTAAATTTTATTTTATTTGTTTTATTTTATTTCATCGGAGACAGGGTCTGGCTGTGTTGCCCAGGCTGGAGTGCAGTGGTACAATCATAGCTCACTGCAACCTCCGCCTCCCAGGCTCAAGTGATCCTCCCGCCCCAGCCTCTCCAGTAGCTGGGACTACAGGCATGCACCACCATGCTGGCTAATGTTTGTATTTTTGATAGAGATGAGGTTTTGCCATGTTGCCCAGGCTAGTCTTGAACTCCTGGGCTCAAGCGATTCACTCACCTCATCCTCCCAAAGTGCTGAGATTACAGGTATGAGCCACTGCTCCCATCCTTCCATCTCCATGATAGGCATACAGTAGGTGGCATAATGCCCATTTTACAGATGTGGAGACAGGCTCAGATAAGTAGCAGATGCTCAAATCCAGGCTTGCAACACCACAACCAGTCCATCCACAGGGGTTCATGACGTGCTCACTGGAAGTCAGTGAGCTCTTCCAGGGGCCGGGCATACATCCAGGGAAGAAGACAGAGCTGGTGCCCTCTGGGAGCTTGCCTGAGAGTGGGGAAGAAACAAGGAGCAAGGCCGGGCGCGGTGGCTCACGCCTGTAATCCCAGCACTTTGGGAGGCCAAGCGGGGTGGATTACCTGAGGTCAGGAGTTTGAGACCAGCCTGGCCAACATGGTGAAACTCAGTCTCTACTGAAAAAACAAAAATTAGCCGGGTGTGGTGGCGCATGCCTGTAATCCCAGCTACTCGGGAGGCTGAGGCAGGAGAATCGCTTGAACCCGGGAGGCGGAGGTTGCAGTGAGCCGAGATCGCGCTATTGCACTCCAGCCTGGGTGACAGAGTGAAACTCCATCTCAAAAAGAAAAAGAAACAAGGAGCAAGAGAAGATCACACAGGTCAGCCTCTTAGGAGGCAGTGACAAGTGCGGCTGGCAGAGTAAGGCCGGAGGGAGGGAGTGAGGGACTGCCTCAAGTGAGGAGGGGCGGCTCGTGGAACTCAGCGGGAAAAGCTCTCGGTGGAGGAGGTGAGGTGAGTCAAGACCGCCAGACCAGGAGCCTCACCCGCGCCGTGGAGTGGAGTGTGGAGGGTTTTGTGCAGGATCTGATTAACTCTTGGAAAAGAGCCGCGCAGTCTAGAGCCGCGCGGGCAGTGCGGCTCCCCTCCTGGCGGCCGACAAAACCCCACAGCTGTGAGCCTCCACCCCGTCCTAACCACCGAAACTTCTCTTTGGTCACAGGTTGCATATTCATCGAAGAGAACTTTTCTTTGAAATGTCCCAAACATAAGGTAGGGGACCACAGTGTTTTGTAGGGGGAGGGGTGTCAAGCGGGAGACGAGCCCCACCTCGCACCTCCTTCACAGTCCGCCGCCCCTTCGCTGCGCAGCCCCGCAGGGCCCAGCCCGAGAGGGAGGGAGCTCTCCCCGCCCACCCCCAGGAGCCCCCGTTGCCGTCCAGCTCAGGTCCCCGTCCACTTGCGCGATGCCGCCGCAGCCGCCGAAAACCCGCCGGCGTCGGGGCATGGGCAGCCAGGGGCTGAAGGGCGTCCCTGGGACGGCCTCCCCGCAGCTCCCCAAGATAGGTGACAGAGTGGAGCAGGCGGGGGCGCGGGACGGTGGCACGTAGGTAAAGGTGAAGGTGGATGGGGTGGGGCCAGAAGGGGTGGGGCCGACGGCCTCGGGCGGAGACCCCAGCCGCGCTCTAGCGTCGCCCGGGACGGGGGCCTGGGGGGCGGGCCCACACCGGGGGCGGGGCCTGTGGCCTTTGAGGTCCGCGGTCGTCGGTAACGGGTGGGCGGGCGTCTTTTGCAGAGGCTGCCGTTGTAATCCACCCCAACGGCCGGAGGAGCCGCCGGAGCCCGCCTGCCCGCCCGCCGCCGAAGGAGAGGAGCCGCCTGCGCAGCCCCCGGGCCTTTGAGCTGCTCCCAGTGCGGGTCCAGAGCCGATCCTTGATCCGGGTCCCGGATCGTGGATCCGGCCGCCTAGGGCTCAGACTTGCGGCCCCGGGTTGGGAGGAAAACCCGTTCCGGAGCCGCCTGCTCCCGGAACCGGACGGCACAGGGCGTTCTTGCCCACCCCAGGGGCCAGGCTTGCGGAGGGGGAGCCCGCGGAGCGGCCAGACTCCCCGGGGCGCTCAGCCTCCGGCGAGGGTGCGAGACGGCTTTGGCCTGGGGACGCTTTTCCCCTCTGGAATCTCAAGACGACGTGGCACACATTCCACGTGGGTGCTGTCGCCACCCCAGTCGGTCGTGGCGTGCAGCTGGGAGCCCTGGGCTTGGGGGTGGGGGTCGAAACAGTTCTGGAAGAGGCGGAGGGCGGCTCCTGGCTCCGTGGACTAGGCGGGGGAGAAAGGAAGCCTTTCTAAGAGCGGGCTAGGCAGGCGCTGGAGGGACCTGAGCCTTTGGAACAAACCGTGCGGAACGCTTCCAGGGGCCTTCCCGCCCAGCCTTTGCCAGATCTGTCATGCGTTTCGGGCAAAGCCGGGATAGACCTGGGCTGTGCTCAGTTAGGGGTTGCGGGCTCTCCGAGAGGTTGTGGGCGGGACTGGGACACCCTTTGGCCTCTGTTCGTCCCCTTTCCAGTCCACCCCACCCCTGGAGCCCAGCCTGGGAGTGCAAAACCCAAGAAGCGGCCAGAACGCACCTCCGGCGGACGCGCGACCGTTGTGCACCACCAGGGACCGCCGCGCCCACTCTGCACGGGAGCAGGGACAGCGCTAGATTCGTGTACAAAACCTGTGTACCCCTCTATATATATGTTACATAGAATGTATATATGTTGGGAACATGCTCGCTTCTCCCGTGTGTCGCCGCCGTGCGTCGTGCGCCCGCAGCAGAGCCCCAACCGGGCCTTTGCCGGGTAGGGGGCTACCACGACGCCCCTTGCCCACGCAGCCACCACCGGCCCGGGCCAGTCCCTGCCAGTCCGTCTGCCTGTCCGTCCGTGTCCTCAGCTCTGTCCACGCTTCGATAGGCCTGATGCAGCCCCCAGCCCAGGGCCGCCCTAGCAACTTCCTGTACATATGACTGTAAAATGGTAAACGTGTGTATTATATCTGGCCTCGTTATATAGTGTATATATATGTATACATATACATATATATAATATATATGAAGACTGTAAATGTTAAGACGACTAGTGTTCTTATTAGTATATTGCTTCACACTGAAGATTGTGTGTATCGAGCTGTTTCTAAAAGATGTTTATTTTCCTTAAGAGTAAAAAACAGTCATTGCATTCAGAAAAAAAAAAAAAAAAAGTCAATAAAGATACAACGATTGTTTTGGAAAATCTGCAGCCCGTGGATTCCGACCAGATTCAGCTGGGAGCCGGGCCAGTCTTCAGGTTGGGGAATGGGAATGAAGGGAGGGGCTCAGGGGGGCATGAATGGAGTCAGGGAGCCCGCCCTTCACAGAACAGGAAGACTCTCCGCGCCTGTGCCCCCTCTCCAGTGTGGCGGCGGGTCGGGAGGGAGGAGGCTTCTTTGCTGTGAGAGGACCAGGGGCTAGGATGGGGGCAGGTGAGACGTGCCAGACTTGCAGGGAGACCCAAGCTGTAGCTCCTGTCATACAACAAACAGGTCCTGGAGGACAGTCCATCCTCCCATGCCACCCAGGGACCTGATGGGGACACAGCTGGGAGGTGAGAAGGGACAACTGACCCCATCGAGGCCCTAAGGGTTGACAGTCCAAACGTGCCCTGGGAACAGGGGGACAGGTCAGCTGGAGGCCATACAGCCAGCCCTCCCCACTCCCGCTACTAACATCGGAAAGAGCTAAGTTGTGTCCCTCGTGGCCGGAGAGGGGAGGGAAGCCTTTTCCAAGGTGCTGGGGGAGGGCCCAAGCACTCTCACTGGTCAGCATATCAATCAGCTGAAGACACAAAACCCAGATTATAAATAATTTCATGTTTAATTCTCTGTACAAAACTTCTCAATCTATGAAAATAAAGTTTGCAAAAGGCAAAGTAGCACAGGAGCCTCAGGTCAGGAGGCTGAGCACGCTGACCTACACTATGTACACGTCTTCCCACGAGGGAGAGAGAGGCCTCTGGGGCTAGAGCCCCGCTTGCAGTCCGGGAAAGCCAAGTTGGCTTCCGTCAGCGCAGGGAAATGTACCCATCTCTTCCCTCTAAACAGGAGGAAAAAAGCCACTAAGGTGCCTGCAGAGCAAGGAGGGCCCCCCCCCCCCACGCCCCGAACAGCTCGGCTCCTGCAGTGCCCCGATCGGCCACCAGAGGTCAGCACCATCATGGCCGCCGGTCTTAGGGTCGGGTTTGCGCCCCTCTGGCCTTCCACCCCGAAGGGACAGCGCAGCCGCGGGTGAACCGTGGAGGCCAGGGTCTCTCGCACTGCCTTCGGCCTTCAGGGCTTCGACACAGGACAGAAGCTGCACGGGACAGAAGTGGCTAGAGACAGGGGTGCTGAGGCCGGGGATACGGGTTCTAGCTGGAAGTGACAGTGGTCCCACCGCCCAGGCGCATGAGCATCTGCTGACAGTCGTGCAGCAGCCGGCGATCGCCAAGCTTCTCGAGCGTGCGCGCCGCCTCAGCCAGCATGCCCACGCGCTGCCCGGGCGCCGACAGGAAGCCAGGGGGCAGGTAGCAGGAGGCTAGCAGCAAGGCCTCCGCGTGCTCCCGCCTCGTGGGCCGCGGCTCCAGCTCCGCCACCGCGCCTGCGCACACAAGGATGTGTCAGGGATGGGGCTCGGGCTGGCCACGCCCCCGCGGGAGCCCCGCCCACACACAAGCAAAGGCACCAGCCGCCCATACCTAGTATACACGTCCCCCTCTCCCCACCCTAGTCTCAGCCCACACATAAAGTCCACAGACTGAGTCACGCACGTGTAGTCATATATCCCACAAATGACAGTTGCCCCACTGATTTCTTGTGAAAGGAACTGTCATCAGGTAACCACCAAGAAGATGCTTGTTTTTTGGTTTTTTTCCTTGAGATAGGGACTCTCCCTGTCACCCAGGCTCACTGCGGCCTCCAACTCCTGGGCTCAAGCTATCCTCCTGACTGGGCCTCCCAAAGTGCTAGGCGTGAGCCACTGTGCCAGGCCTATCTGTCCCGTCTGACACACACGCAGCCTCCCTTGGTATCATACCCCATGTGTGCCCTTCCCTGCTGAGCAGACAGCACATCCCTGGTCAGCAGCTGCCCCTCACCTCCTTTGCCACCGGGGCCTGCCCGCCGCCTGAGACTGCGGTCGAGGAGTTGGTGTGTCCGTGTGGGGCTGGCCCCCGCCATCAGCCGGGCCGTGGCCTCGTGTAGAAACACCTGGGGGCCAGGAGAGTGGAGGCTCAGGGCTGTCCCTCTCCACCACTGCCTGACTCCCCATCTTGAGGACAGGGAGCCATTGGGCACTCACCCTCCGCATGGCAGGCCGGAAGCTCTGTGCCAGCCGCCTCAAGCTGCTCAGGTCCCGTTGGAAGCCACGCAGCTCAAGGGCAGAAGCCTGAGGCCCGCTGCTGGTGCCCTGGGCTGCCGGGGCCGGGGCCGGGGGCTGCTGCTGCCGCCACAGGCTGGTGCGTACCACAAGGAGCAGGTCACACAGGAACAGCTGCACGGCCTGGGGGTGGCGGGCAGGGCAGGGTCACCAGGGCTCCAACTCTGGGAGGGGCAGGATGGGGGCCCGCGGTGCCAGGGGCCGGCTCCGGGCTGCACTGCCGAGGCACTGCACCCGCCTCACACACGTGCAATGCAACAGCAATGCACCGCGGGGCCGCCCGCCTCTCTTGGCCCCCACACCCGCCACCGGCCCAGGAGCAGCTGTCCAGCCCTCCTGATGCAGGGCCTCCAAAGGGATCCTACCACACCATCCACCCCCATCCTCCCAGAATGGGGAAACTGAGGCCAGATAAGGGCAACCCCTCTCCTCTAGACAGAAGCCTTAGCCAAAAAGCAAGGACTGCTGGACCTCCTATCTGCTGGACCCCTCATCCTGTGCTGCTTGGGCTAACCCCATGGTCTTCTGCAGTCCCTGGGGCCTGGGGAGAAGGACCAGGGAATGGAAGGCTGAGTCCCCCAGCCCTGCCAGGCCCCTGGCCCCACCCCTCACCTTGTCAATGGAGCTGCTGGCTGGTGTGGTAGCCAGGCTGTCCTGCAGGTACCCACTGGCCTTCTCACAGATGGTCAGGCTGGCTGGACCAGACTCTGCCTTGGCACAGCCCAGCAGGGCCCGGGCAGCCTTGAAGGAGTGCAGAGCCGCCCTGGGCAGGGGTCTCCTGTTGGGACCAGGGCAGAAGAGTGCCAATCAGACCAGTCCACAAGCCCTGGCTGAGTGCCTCCCACTGCCCTGGCTCGAGTTCCCTGGGGATAAAAGGTGGTGACCCCTCCTGCACAAAGGCTGAGTGGAGGCACAGTGCCCAGGGGATGAGGGAGGCTGGGCCCAGGGCCAGGCAGAAGGAACCTGCCGTGGACTCACTCAGACTCCTGCAGCACCCGGGGCAGGTGCTCCACCAGTGGGCACAGCCGCTCAGCCGCCTCCTCGTCCCGCCGCAACCAGTGGATCACCACAGCTGTCAGAGAGGCCCACCACTTGGCCACTGGGTCTATGCCTGCAAAAGAGGGAGGGTCCCCTGAACCCTCAGCCACGCTGCACGAGGACTGAGAAGGGAGCCAGGGCAGGGGCCGGGGGCTCACCGGTGGTGGTGGCCATGCTGGAACTGATGGAGAAGCTGCAGGCAGGAGCCCCCGCCGCATCAGAACAGCTGTTCAGCAGCTGCAGGTACCCGAGGGCATCCGAGAATTCCCTGTGGCAGGAGAGGGTTGGCTGTCGGGACAGATGGCGGGGTCCTAGGAGGGTGCTGGCCCTCCCCACCTGCCCACTAGAGTACAGCCTGACCCCTGGCTCTGCAAACTGCCACCGTCTCCTCCCATAGGCTGGTGGGGAGAGGAAACCCAGAGAGGAACGAAGGGCGCATGGCACGCATGGTAGCCTAGCTCTGGCCCTCTCCGCAGGGTTGAGGACAGAGCTATTCCCAGAATCCTGCTGGAGGAGCCTTGCCTGGAGGAGGGCACAATGACACTTACTTGTCCCCATCAGCTGACCCAGGGCTGGGGTTGGGCTGGGTCACACAGTTCAGTGCTCGCTCCAAGAGATGTTCCCGGAATAGCTGAGTCACCTGGGCCAGGGGGTCCACTGTGGAGAAGAGGAGGTGAGTGGGGTGGGGAGCAGGGCCCCACCCTTTTCTCCAAGCTAAGGGCTTTTGCCTGGGTGGGCTGGGGCCACACTCAGGGTCACTGGGAAGTGCCGGCATGCCCCTGGGTGCAGCCCGTGCCAAGGACAGGGGAAAACAGGTGGACATAACTACGCCAGCACCAGCGTTGGCCAGGACAACACTGAGGCCTGCCCTACGCTGCTCCCAAAGGAAAACCGACTTGAGAAGGCACCACTGTTGGCTCCGCTTCCTTACTCCACAGCGGTGCTGCCTGGGGTCACCTCTCCAATCAGCCACCTGCCCTTCAATCCCTGCATGTGCTTCTGAAAGCCCCAGTGGGAACCGAGACTCACCCAGGCCTTTCCCTTCCTACAGCCCCCACATCAATAACCCATGGCAGGGAGAAGGACTGGGGTGGCCAGAGACAGCCAGAGATTCAGGCAACAAGGGACAGAACAGGAATGAGGACATGGGACAGGAGAGGGGACAGGGAAAGGGTAAGAGAGCACCTGGGTTACCAGCCAAGCTGTACAGGGTCTCCCGTGGGGTACTGAGCACGGCCCAGTCCCCATCCACGAAGAAACGGTGGCCCACGGGGTGGCAGAGCCACTGCATGGCAGGAGGCACAGAGCCACTCTGTGCCAGGCAGGCCTGGCGGGCACTGCTCAGGAAGAAGCGCTGTAGGGGAAGGAAATGGGCTGTCACAGTGGACACAGGCTGGGGCCAGACCCCAGGCTGAGTCCTAGCTTGGCCTGGATCCCCCTTGGTAACCACTGCAACATCCCGTGTAACTCTTACCCAGCGAGCCTCTGGAGAGAGCTGCAGGGATAAGCCCCCCGCCCCACCCCACCCCCCCGCCACCCACTCACTGTCAGAAAATGCAAGGTCCGTGGGAGACTGGTCTTCACTCTCAATGCAGCTGCCACATAGATCTCGGCCAGCGTTGCCACAGACACAGCATCCCCTGCACACTCTGCCAGGTTCAGGGCACTCAGCGCCAGGTTGGTGGCAGTAAGGTGCCCGCCTGTGTACTTCCCTGGAAGGCAAGCAGGCATGAGGCTGTGGGTGGAGCACAGGCAGCAGGGAGCACCTCGGAGCCCGCCCCACGCTCCATCCTACCCATGGTGTGCAGCTGGTGCAGCTTATGGTAGACCAGGGCTGCGTCTCGGGCGCTGGCGCGAGCATCCACCCGCAGAGAACAGTCCCGCTGCAGGCCCCCCGCCCGGCCTGCCAGCCAGCGGCCCACCCAGAGACGCTGCAGCAGGTGACGGATGAGGTTCCAGAGGAGGCTACAAGCCAGGTCCAGGTGGGAGGTGGGCAGGGGCCGGCCCAGTGCCCGCAGGGCCAGCCACAGCTGCTGGGCAGCCTGGGCAAAGTCCCCCTGTGGATGAGGGTTTTCCAGGTGAGAAAAGTGAGGTCAGAAGAGCCATCCACAGCAGGCTCTGGAGGGGCGGTGGGGGTCTGCAGATGCACGGCCAGGCACAGGGAGGACAGGACAGATTCATGGTGTGCACAGGGAGAGAGGAACAAGGGTTGACACCCAGCACCTTCCCAGCCTGGGGTCCCTGCCCTGCCCACTCTGCCAGGGGCAACCCCTTACCCGGGCCAGGTCCAGGTCAGCCTGCTTGCGATGCCTCCAGAAGTGCACGGCGGGGCCTGAGTGCGGCCGCGTGACTGGCTCACCGTAGACAAAGAGAAGCACCAAGGAGACCAGCACCAGCAGCCCATTGAGCAGCCAGACCACTGGGGGCAGCAGCCACTGGGCCCAGCCAGGGCCATCTATGGACAGAGGGAAAGCTGGGGACACAGCTCCCAGGAAATCCAGAGCCCCAAGTTCACAAGCCTGGGGGCTCCCCCAGAGCGCCCTCCCAAAGATGCCAGGGCTGGCCAGTCCCACCTCTACTCTCGGTGCCCAGCACGTTGCGCCCAGGGCTGTGGTAGACGCTGGTGATATCTGAGGGGCCAGGAAGCCCCCGGGCCCCCAGCAAGGAGGCCAAGGGGTTGCAGGACAGGCAGAGGAAGACGAGTGTGCACAGGGCCAGGCGGGAGCGGTCCAGCATGCCCCGGCTGTGCGGAGACGGCCGCTGCTCTGGCTTTGCCTGGTAGGGGTGGACAGGGTGGTGAGGGCAGAACCAGAGGGACCCCAGAGACCATGAGGCTGGGAAGGGGGGTCAGGATTCTGCCCACCTTACTGTGGGACCCCACATGGCTCCAGGCCTCAGTTATTCTGTCTATGAAATGGGAGGTAGGATCTGTTAGGGTCTTCCTGACCCTGTCCTGAGGTTCAGAGGATATGGCTGGGAGTGGGGAAGGGGGCACCGTGGCAGGGCCCAACCTTGCTGTCCTCGAAGACTGGGCTGTCAGGCTCCGAGTCACTGCCACTGCCACCACTGCCACTGCCCCTGCTGCCAAGGGACAAGGGGCTGCTCTGGAAGGGCGAGCCGGCATCCGAGGGGGGTGGGGTCAGTGTGTCCTCCACCTCAGTCTTCACGCCCTCCATGAGCACGTCTGTGTTCCCTTCACTGCCACAGGCCGACACCAGATCCTTCAGAGATTCTGTGGACCGAAAGGAACAGAGCCAGGAGTAAAGGTTGCATATGTGACCCCAGTGAGAGCTTAGGCCCTTGGGGGTCTAGGGACTGCTGTAGCTCCCAAAGCTGGCCCAGGAAGCTTCGATGGGGCTGGGTTAGGGCCAAAGGGAGGCACCAGGGCTCTTTCAGGACCAGAGGTAACCAAGGGACTAGAGCTGAAGGCGGGGCTAGAGCCAAGGGTGAGGTAGGTAGGGCAGAGGGTGGGCCAGAACCAAGGGCAGGGTGGGGCTAGGGACAGGGGCAGGGCCGGGGGGGCAGAGCCAGGCTAGAGGAGAGGCCCAACTGGAGCTCAATAAAGCCAAGACTCACTGCTTTTGTGGACAGCAGTGCGCAGACTTAGGTTCTCCTGCTTGAGTTTCTGGTTGCTGTGTTGCAGAAAGCGAATGTAGTCGATGGCCTTGCGCAAGACAGCAGATTTATTCAGCTGCACGGTGTGGAAAGGAGGAGGAGAGCACAGGTGGCCCGTGAGGTCGGGGGTTGTGGGGTTGGGGGGCCCTACCAAGGGGTTGCGGAGCTGCTTTGCAACACTACTGCCTCAGGACCTTTGCACTTGTTCCTTCTACCTGAAATGTTCCTCGCCTAGTGGCACCCACCTCCCAGGCCGAGCATCGGGTTAGGATGTAAGATGCAAACAGCAGGGTCTGGCTAGCTGCTGCTGTGCCTGGCGCCGTCTCAGGGGGGCCTTCCCTGGCTACCACCAGGGGACCCTCACCATCCCTCTTCCTGCTTTCTCTGCAATGAGTCAAATGTGGTGGACTCGAGCACTTATTCATCCTGCCTACTGTCCATCTCCCCCACCAGAACATGGGCTCCTCTTTGAGGGACAGTTTTTGTCTGTCTGGTTCATTGCTGCATCCCCCATGCCTAGCACAGCCCCACCTTTATTGAAGAGGCCTGCAAACCCGTTTAACTAGATAAACGAGGCTGGCCAGGCCTGGGGATGCTGAAGCCCAATTCCCTGCTTGTCCAGGCTCAGTCTCACTCCCTCTCTTCCTTCCAGTTGCCCCTGATCTGTTCCTTCCTAGGGACACCCCGGTCTGTGCCCCTGCAGGCCTCTCCACACCTTTGCCTCAGTGCCCACCACCAGATCCTTGAGCTCAATGATTTTGTCATTGATGGAGGAGCGGTATCGCTTCTCAATGGCGTTGTGGGCTGTGCGCTTCTCTCCACGGCTCTGGGCTGAGCCCTGGGCCTTGCTGCCAGCCGCCAGCCGGTTGATAGGTAGCTTGTCCGCATCTACAACCAGCGGGACTGTTGCCAAGATGGTTCCGCCACTCACCAGGGTCTGCAGGACCAGGCACATGTTACCAGGTGGGCATGTGTGTGTGCAGACCCCACTCCCTTATGCCCTGCCCACATCACCCACCGGCAAAGGCCCTGTCTGCACAGTGGTGCCGGAGACCAGGGGGCTGAGACCCGCCGCCTTCACAGTGGTTCCGTCTGTCTTCATGGCTGTCAGAAGCAGCGAGTCTGCCTTGATGAAGTGGGGCTGCAGCAGGACCTGAGGGTAGGAGAGGGCTTGGCCGTAAGCTGTGTGGCTGGGCCAGGGGCCGTGCCCTCCCCAACCCCTGGCCAGACCCCTCACCGGGACCTGCTGGATCTGCGAGGTCACAGTGGTCGTTGCAGGGGCTGCCGTGGGGGCAGCTGTGACTGTCAGTAGCCGCTGGGCGGCCACACTCTGGACCTGGGTGTGCAAGGAGACGGGCGGGACCCCTGGCGGGGAAGCCAGTGGCAGGCCAGGCAGCGGCTGCTGGGTGCTCCCGGGAGGGCTCCCTGCAGAAATAAAGCCTGGGGCTGCAGGCACAGACTGCCCTCTCCCACTTTCAACCTGCTCTTCAGGTCTCTATCACCAACTGGCCTTGGATGAGTCATTGCTCCATGTGGCTTCCTATGGATAGTCCCTGCCTGGGCCCTGATGCAAATGCACTGGCTTCAAGGCAGGCCTCCAGTCTGAGGTTGCGCCTACCCTGGCAACGAGCACACCAGGACTGCTAGTAACACGGTGTCTCAAGCGCAGAGTGGAGCCCCAGTTTCTAAAGCCTGCACAGACCTCTACTCACATCACAGCGGAAGCTTCTTCCTGTGCTCCTGGGAGTCCCACCCCAGGTGTCCCTTCCCACCACACATCCCCCTTACCTGTAGAGAAGCCTCCCGGAGGGCTGGGGTAGCCTAACACGGGGGTGGAGCTGAACTGCGGTGGGGCTGGGGCTGGGAAGCTCTGTGGCAGGAGGGCCCCTGGCAGGGGCTGCGGGGTGGGGGTCTGCAGGATGCTCAATGGCACTGACTCTTCCTTGATACCAGGCCCAGGGGAGAAAGTGGGCACGGACGGGTACATCTTCAATGGAGTGGGTGCAGGCTGGGGAGGGGACAGGGGTGAGGGCGCTGCCTTCGGGCCGCTCAGGAAGTCTTCAAGAGAGGAGCTCAGTGTGGTAGGAGGTGGAGACAAGCTGCCTGGGGAGCTGGTATCGGGGCTGGCAGGGTCTGTGCCCCCTGCCCCACTCCCAGCATAGGGCGGGTCAAACAGGCCAGGGAAGTCACTGTCTTGGTTGTTGATAAGCTGAAGCATGTCTGTGAAAAGGAGAAGAGGATGTGTGAGCGAGGCAGAGACTGACCCCCAAACAGGGCATCGCATACATCCAAACACAACCCTGTTTGCACAACCCTTGTCGGCACACAGCTGTGTGTGTGTGCAATGCCACCAGAACAGAAAGCCACCCACAGGAGCTGGTGTTCCCGACACACAGCCATTTCGCAAGCACCTGTGCTGTCTCGAGCAATGCCTGCTGCTGCGAGTGCGTCACAATACCTGGACAAGGTGGGCACCACAAGCCTCACAGTCTTGCCCCACAGCTAGGCTGGGAGGCTGGGGCTGAGCCCAGGGTCGGGCCCAAGACTGCAGACTTCAGAGCCTAAGCTCTTCCCACCACCCAGTATTTGCTCAAATATCTGGCAACATCCTTCGTCCACAGCAAACAGCAGGCTCACATTCGTTCACTCATTGACTCATTCGATGAGCATGTGCTGAGTGCCCACACTATGCCAGGCACTGTTCCTGGCTGTGAATAAGAAAAATCCCTGCCTAGAACCAGGCAACTTCCTGGGGAGCTGGGAATGTCCTGTATCTTCATGTGGATGGTGGTAAACTTTTACTCCTGTCTTCACGGGGCATGCATTCTACAAGACATCCACCTCTGAGTCCACACACACACACACACACATACACACACACACACACACACACTCTCTCATACACACACTCATACACACACACATACACACACACTCATACACACATACACACACTCATATACACACACTCATACACTCATACACACACATACACACACTCATACACACTCACACACATACACATTCATACACACATACACACACTCATATACACACACTTATACACACACTCATACACACACACATACACACACTCATACACACACACATACACACACTCATACACACACACACACACACTCATACACACACTCATACACTCACACACACATACACACGCTCATACACACACTCATACACACATACACACACACTCATACACTCATACACACATACACACACTCATACACACACATACACACACTCATACACACATACACACACTCATACACACATACACACTCATACGTACACTCATACACACACTTATACACACATACACACCTACACACACTCATACATACACTCATACACACACTTATACACACATACACACCTACACACACTCATAGACACACTCACACACATACACATACACACACATATACACACATATACACATACACACACTCATACACACACACACACACACATACACATACACACACTCATACACACATACACACAGACACATACTCATACACACACACATACACACTTATACACACACACACCCCTACACACATACACTCATAGACACACTCAGACACGCACACTCATACACACACACTTATATACACACACCTACACAAATACACACACTCATACACACACACACACGTCCACACTGCACTGTGGACTCAGACCAGCTTCCAAGCATTTGCCCATGAGGTGACCAACCCTTCTAGACAGCTCTCCTGCCCTCTCCACAGTCCATCAGCCCCCACCCCACACAGAACAAAAGGAATCCAGAGGCCCAGGTGCAGCCTTCCCTGGCCCCACTGGGGCCTGTTTCTCAATGTGTGAAACGGGGGCATGTCTCCGTCCACAGATCCAGCAGCTCCAGTCTTTGGGACGGAGATGGGGATGGGTAGGGAGGAGCAGCTTAGGGCAAGTGGGAAACAAGACAGAGGGGGTCTTCATATAGGAGCGATGGACCCTACACCCCACCATGGGCCACTCCTGGTCTCATCCTAAAAGGCTCCCCCAGCAGGATCCTCTGGGCGCTGAACTTGACAAAGCAACTTGGAAACTGCTGAGGAGTGGGTGATTTTCCCCTCCCCTCAGTTCACAGGGGGAAGAGGGGCACAGAGAGAGGCAGGATTGCCTTGAGGTCCTGAAGAAGTGGTGGGATCCTCTGTGACCAAGGACCAACTGTGCAGCCTGGGCCCACTCTTCCTAGGGCAGCGCAGGATCTCCAAAGAGAATGGAGACAGGGAAGTCCCCCAAGAGAACCCCAGATCAGAGCAGGGTCCTCATCCACGCTGGAAGGACTCTAAGGGCGGGGGCCCGTGTCAGAAGGGTGGGTCTGGACCAAAAGCCAGGCCAACTGTGGGGCTAACCACATTGATGGAGCCAGGCTAGGCCACTAATACTCACCCACAGCTGAGCGGGCGGTGTGATCACTGGTCCCATTCTACACATGAAGAAACTGAGCTGTAGAGAGGTGACTTACTGGCCTAAGTTCTTATAGAGTCTGAGACTCAACTGAGTCCAAACTCTACTTGACTCCAATGCCCCAACCACTGGCCACTACCCTAGACTACCTCAAAAGATTAGCTCACCTCATCTGGGAGACAAGAAAAGACACTGAGGTTCAGGAAGGACCACAAGCAGCCCAAGAGCATGCAGTGGGGTTCAAACCCAGGTCTACAAAATCCTGAATCTGTTGTCTCTGTGCCTTTTCTTGCCCCACCAAGAAGCCAAGAGCCAGGCTGCTATCACCAACCCATTACTCAGTGGAACAGACCAAGGCTTAGGGCCGAGCCAGCTGCTGCCCACATGGCCAACCAGTGTGTTTCTGTATAGAGTTCTGGGCTCAAGTCCAGGCTTTGCCTGCAGCCAAGTAGCCTCAAGACCCAGGCCTGGCCACTCAGGGCTTTGATTTCATCTCTGTAAAAGCAAGTGCTGTCTGTCCTGACTCCTTCCTCCTCATACAGACTGGGACATACTCCCACCTCAGCCTCGCCTGGCCTTGGGCCCTCTCCCCCAGCTGGCGCCTGGCAGCCTATCTGGCTCAGCCCAGGGCCCTCTAACCCACTCACGGTGGCACCCACTGTGCAGAATGCTAAGACCATGGGGACCTCCAGTGCTCTCAGGATCCCCAGCCTGAGCTCCCAGCCCTGCCCACCACTAGCTTGAAGTGGAGCCTGAACCAACAGCCTCCTCTCACTGGCCCGTTTTCTCATCTGTACAACAGAAAGATTAAACCCTTTTTGGTAGGGCTGCCCGAGGCTTTGCTTAGCAGGCAGCTGGCACAGAGTGGACACCCAGCATCGCCTACTGACAGGTACCCAGGCAGGGAAGTTACTGCAGGAGGGGAAATTTCCTAGAGCGGTTTGCAGAATAGGATGGGGTGGCAGCCCCAGTCTCCCTGGCTTCTCAAGTAGAAACTCTCCTGGTTTGTGGACGCTCCAGGTCACAAGTCATCAAGTCATAATGGACTTTCAATTGCACGGTTTCCCACCCCTTTACCCCAGTCCTTGTGAGCCTCTTTGATAGATGGGGGGAAACTGAGGCCTGAAAGAAAAACTGACAATTTTGACAATCTAGGGCTCCCACTGTCTGCCTGAAGAGTCTAAGATGCCCACAATAGGCAGGGGTGCCGAATAGGGCAGGCGCTGTAGCAGACGGGGACAACGGGCCCTCCTCCCTGCTTCCTCCTGGTCCTGTCCCAAAGCGGATGCAGGGAATGTAGAGAAGGCCACCCTCTCCCTCCAAACCCTCTTAGGTCTGGATGCTGCTGTCGGGTCTCTAAGCAAACCCTTCCCCTTGAGTTGCAGGGGGCACTAATTTGATAGGGGGTAGGCCCCCACTTCCCCAGTGAGTAACTGTCACACCTTCTCCCTCAGGAAGGGGATCTTTCCTGCTCAAGTTCCGCAGCCCCCATGCCTGCCCACCCCAGGAGAACCTGCAGGAGACGGAGGCATTGTATAAAGGGCTGGGGCTGGGGGGAGCCTCCAAAAATACCTTCGAACGTGCAATCCATGGCTCCGCGATCTGCGCCCGCCCTTGGGGCGTCCAGGCGGCTGGCCCTACCCCTCCTCGCGCCGACTTCACCTGTCAAGGCGCGGCGGAGTTTTGAAGCCGTTGAGCGCTGCGGTGCGCCCGCCCCGCCCCGCCCCCAGCCCCGCCCCGCCTGCAGGTCCCGCCCCACCCCGCCCCTCGGGGCTGCGGGCCGGGCATGGGGTGAGCGCGCGCGGCCAATCAGAGGCCGCGCTGCCGCCTCGCTAGGGCCCCGCCCCGGCCCCCGCCCCACCTCCCCACGGCGGCGGGGGCTCGGGTTTCACCCCGCGGCGCTGAATGGGGCTGGGGTTACTAGCGGACGTCCGCCTTTAACCCGCTCGGCGCCAGCGTCTGCCGGGGTTACTGGCGGTCACCGGCCCTCAGCTCCCGCCCCCTTCGTTAAAGGGTCAAAGCAGAGAGGTCCTGGCCCAACACATCAGAACTCTGTGTTCGAAATCACTGGTTCGCTGGCACCTTGAGCGAGCCTTAACCACTCCAACCCTCAGTTTACTCCTCCAGAAACAGGACACTCATTATCTCCCTGGCGTCCAATGGTAGAAGGGAGATAATTTGGGTGCAGCACTTAGTATGCAAGAAGCGCTTAATTAAGGCCAAGGGCTGCCGAGTGGTGGCTGTGGTGGGTGCATGGACCTCCCCCTTCTAGGGCAGCCCCAGGAAGGGGCCACCCCTCACCGCAGCGGGGCTGATGGTCTGGGATGAGGCCACTCCTGAAAACAGGTCACTTCCGGGGAAACTGAGGCCCAGACATAGGAGTTTCCTGACTGCAGCACCGATGTCCCTTTGCCGGTGGGTGAAGTCTGCCCCTCCCCCTCGAAGCCTCACAACTCAGCAGTCACCAAGTGAATCCCGACCCCCTTATTCATTATAGGACCCTGGCAGGCCAGGAAGGGATGCAGTCCCTAGGACAGAAGATGGGTAAGGAAGGGGTGACAGGCTCTGGGGCTCTTTTGAGGAGGTGCCTGGGCCCGTCTTCCCTCTTTTGTTAAAGGTAAAAGTTACACACACACACACAAATGATCAGAGCCTGGTCAGATGATTTTGTAGCCAAGTAGACCACCAGCAAAGCCTGCCTTTGCCCCAACCTGCAGGCCAGCGCCTCTGCCCGGCCCCCGCCCCAGTTGGCTGCAACCTGGGAGGGTGCCTGAACCCTGGGCAGACCCAGCAACTCAGCAGTCCGTTGGGGGCTGGGGTCCGTGTGGCCTCAACCTTGCTCTCTTTTCAGGACCCTAAGCAAGAAAACCCAGCCATGTCTCTCTCGCACCCTGTCCTCACGGCCGTCCAGTCCAGGCCCTTATTTCCCAGCTTTGGGAGGTTCAAGGACAACAGACGGCCTCTCTAGCATGGTCCAACCCTCCCCTCAGCTTGTGGGTGTTTCCTCACCCCCAAAACAAAACAGCATTGCTCTTGGCAAAGGCTCTGACCTGAGTGACTTAAGACAGGGAAGCGTCCTCGACCGAAAAGCATGCTGAGAGCTGAACTCCAGGCATGAGTTCCCCATGGCCTCCCAGCCTGGTTCATTACTTTACTCCCCAGTTTCTGAGCCCAGAATGTGGTGGCACCAACAAGCAGATACCAGCCTGAGACAGCAGGGCCAGGGCCACCCCGAAGCCTGTCCCCTCCCCTTACCCATCTTGGCTTTACCACGTATTCCTCCTGCCTCTTATTGGTGTCTTTATTTGTCTCATCTTCCTGCTCTAACCCCCTCCCATCCCACTGAGGAAGTGGGGCGGGAGAGGGTGGTTGCTCTCTGAGCCCCAGGGGCAGCAGAGTCATTAAAGGCTCTGGTGGGGGTGGGGGGACCTTCCAAGAGGAGGGAGCGTGACCTGAGAACAGAGGGTTGGCCCTTGGGCAGAGGGCACAGACTAAGCTAAGATGCCCCAAGGGCTTGGGTGCCACCAGCCATGGCCAGCCTCTGAAACTCAAGGCCTGGCCAAACCCTGGCTCAGTCTCCCCTGGGGCTGATCTGCGGGCCAATTTCTTTCTTTTTGAGACAGAGTCTGGCTCTGTCACCCAGGCTGGAGTGCAGTGGTGCGATCTCAGCTCACTGCAACCTCCGCCTCCTGAGTTCAAGTGACTCTCCTGCCTCCGCCTCCTGAGTAGCTGGGATTACAGGTGTACGCCACCACACCTGTAATGAAATGTAATTTTTGTATTTTTAGTAGACACAGGGTTTCACCTTGTTGGCCAGGGTGGTCTCGAACTTCTGACCTCAGGTGATCCTCCCGCCTCGGCCTCCCAACATGCTGGGATTACAGGCGTGAGCCACCGCACCCAGCCTGCTGGCCGATTTCTGTGAAAGCTGGTCACCAAGTTAAGACTGAAAAAGGAAACTCTAGAGCCAGCCCTGCAGCCTCTCTCAGAGACACACCTAAGCGGGCTATCTGGGGCTACATGCCAGGGCCTGCTCTTTCTTCAGCCCCTCACTGGCTGTGTGATGGGGACAGTCCACTGCTCCTCTCTGAGCTCCCACACCTATGGTCTCCACAGGTGGGAATTCTGGGAGAGCAAGTGTGTAAAACATCCATCACTCAACAGTCTCAACAAAGGTTAGTTCTCTCTACAGCAATTAGAATGGTTTAGAACTGGAAAGTCAGGTCGTGAGTTGCCTGATACTTGCAGTATTCACGTCGGAGCTCCATTACCATTTGATTGAGACACTTTTTCGTTTTTGTTGTTGTTGTTTGTTTTTTAAGGGGAGTTAACAGGGCCAGTCTAGAGTAGCGCAGCTGAGGCACCCTGGGTTCACAATTTAAGGAAGAGCCTCTCTTGCCTCCCCTAGTCCCTGCCCTGGAAGCTGGGAGAGCTGGTCTCTAGAGGCTCACTGTGGCACCCAAATTGCGGCCCACCCGCAGGTGAAGCAGGCTTCCCCACGAACACTGAGAAGGCCCTTCTGGTTCCCACACACATTCTGAACACAGGAAGGAAGAGGAGGCACAGACTCTGGGCCATGGTGGTCCCACCTGCTCCCTTGTTCACCTTCCCCAGGCTTGTGAAGCCCTGCCACCCCCTTCCCAAACCTGGGTTCCTCCTCTTCCCTCTTCTTCCTCTCCTGCCCTGATTCTATCAGGACCCAACAGGAAACCTGAACCCCCACCTGGCATCCCTCCCCAGTTCTACCTTCAAACCTCTCTCTGAAGGCAGATGCGGGCGCTCTTTAATGACTCTGGCCAGTGTATTCTGTGAGGCCACGAGGGAAATCCTGGGCAGGCCTCATAGCATGCGCTTGCAGGGCCCAGCTCTGACCAGCACAGAAGCCTACAACTCACACAAGGCCTTGAACCCCAAACAACCTCCTGGAAGAGGAAGCTCTCCACCTGCCCCCACGGCCTTGTCCACAGAACCCAGATCCATCTCTCTGACAATATCTGCTGTGTGCCAGTCCTGTGCCAGGCACTGGGGCCATTGTAGATGAGGTGGTCAGGGCAGCCCACCTTAGGAGGTGACATCTGAAAGGAAGCCTGAATGAAATGAGGGAGTGGGCCAGAAGGGAGGGCAGAAGAAACAGTGTGTGCAAAGGCCCTGAGGTGGGCATGGGCAGGACAGGAGGAGCAGAGGCAGTGAGGGGGTGGAGGCCAGGATGGCCACCAAGGAGCTGGGATTCCAACTCAGGTTGGTCTGTCATCTGAGCCAAGGACCCCAATTCTCCAGGGAATGGGTAGGAAAGGTATTTGCAAATTGATCCCTGCACTGCAGATCACAAAGCTGCACCAACTGTGAAGAAGGGTCAGCCACGGGGGAGGACGAGGCACAGTGGCTCGTGGGATTCCAGAGCACACCCTCTCTGCCTGCTAATGGAGGTGGCAGGGTGGGGATGGGTGCCCACCATCCCTCCAGGGAGCTGGGCTGCACCCTGCCTGCTGTTCTGCTCCCACCAGGCACCTCCTTGATCCTCCTAACTGAAGTCGGTGGTTCTCGTGTTTTCAGCTGGTTGTGTATCCAGCAGGGGCACAGGCTGCCCTTTGTGCGCTCAGGTGCCCCAGGGGCACAAGTGTGTGCCGGCTCTTCCAGGAATGGGACGCGCCCATGGCTGGAGCCCCAGGTGCACCTGGGCGCAGGTCCTCTTGAGGAAACTAAGGCTCAGACGGAGGCCTTGTGCCCAAAGTCCCACAGCTGCCATGTGAAGAATCTGGGACGCAAACCCCATTCTGCAGACCCCAGAGCCTGCCCTTCAGCCCCAGCCTACCAGGGACAGCAGTGAGCCCCAACTCTGGCCTGCCTCTGCCCTGACCAGCTGTCCTTATTTGTCGCAATTCAGTGAGTGTGTGTAGAGTGCAAGGACAGAGAGGACAACACGAAGCTCTTTAAGGCTCAGCTCCGGCACTGCTTCCTCCCGGAGGCTTCCTAACTACCACCCTCCCCACCCTCCCCCCGACCCCGAGATCCATCCACCTCCCCTGCCAAATTAGAGGTTGGGTCTCAGCTGGGGGCCCCTCCTGGCAGGGCCTGAACCAGCTGTGACCCCAGCCTCACCCAGCACAGGGCTGACCACAGCAGGGACCCCAGTCAAAGGCCATGCCAACTCCAGCCATGGCTTCCTCCACCCTCGTCTGCCTCCGCCCCCATCCCCTAACTGGTATCTCCCTGGGCCTCCTTTTCCCTGCCTGCTTTCTGAACACCGCACGCTATTGGAGGCCAGGCTGTTCCCTCCACCAGGAATACCCTTTCCACCTGGCGAATTCCTGTTCCTCCATCAGAACTTGCTGTGACGCCACCTCACATTCTTTCCTCGTCTGTGCCCCTCCACACGCCAGCTCCCAACACGATGACCGTCCGACCCTGTAAACCTCACAGCCATGCTTCCTCCTCCCCACTGGCCTCTTCCCAGAGCTACAGGTGTGCAGAATCGCCCTCAACAGAACCTGTGAGATGGCGATTACATGTGATGCTGGTCGGCACCAATTCAGACACCTTGTCTGAGAGGTGGCCCAGGGCACATACTTATCACCTACAGCTGAAAAACAATCCATGGGCCTGATGTAGTGGCAATTCTGGGAGTAGCCCCTGCTGCTGGGCACCTGTTCTCAGTCAAAATG